TGCTTTATCTATCAATCAACTATTGATATAGAAATTAGTAATAGTAATAAAATTGTTCAAGAGTCATCGCTAAAAAGCAGAATGAAAGGATGAAATTAATATTAAAAGGATTATAGCAGCATACGTCACAAGATAATATGCACTATTATTTGTAGCACACCTACGAAGGTGTAATTTGATTAAGAACAATATATTTCATTTGTACGACTACAATTCCACAAGAAACGTAGTTTAATATGAAACAAGTATTTTTTTTATATAATGTCATATTGGGATTACCCGATGCTTAGAGTAACGTAGGAGTAGCCGCTTTATTGTAATTTTTAATGAGATATAGAAACATACATGTGTAATTGTCTAACATGTTATTATACTAATAAGTCAAAAGAAACTTCGCAAAACTACTGTTATATCGCTTAACCAAATCGAATAATTCACGTAACGTGATATTTGAAAACATTTCAAATTTTTCACAACATATTAAATTGACATGTACAGTTGTAATTGTTAATATTTATGGATACGTATAGTATAGTGAATACATATAGTATAGTGGATACACATAGTTGGATACGTACATATGTTACGAGTCTATTTTTATGTTCCTTGGTCACTGATTCCCCCGTCATTATTTTATTTGCTACTCCTTCTCCTTTATAAATACTCTAAGCCATTAAAAACTGCTTTTTGTTTCTTACGATTATTTCTGTGGTCTATCTTGATCAGCAAAATATTTAGTTGCATTAGGAAAACGTGAAGGGTCTGGAAAATCTGGGGTACCGTATCTGTTGGGATTCAAAGAGTCCCTAATTGCCTGACCGAATGCGTGCCTTACACCAGGATCGACGGCTACAGCGACTGCAGCACCTTCATTTTCTTCCACCCCTGCTCGGATTACGCCTTCTCTCACTAAACGTTCCATAGACGCAGCTATCGCTGAATGATTGGGAGTGGGACTAACCAATAATCGTGGTTTTTGTTGCTCAATAAGTTTACGCCTTTTAGTAGGCAGTGTACCTAAGTAAGCATCACTGAATGCTGCTACACCACCGTTTGTAATTCCCTGCATTTGCAATTGACGGCGTTGCCTTACTCCATCTCGTGCAATTATTGGTACCCAATCCTAAAATGAACAATGTTTTACGTTTCCGTTTATAAGATATAATATGTTTGTATATGTGAATGCATATAAATATATTGTATTTACTGAAGGTAATACTTCATGACCGGGGAAAGTTTCTGGAATTTCGTCTCCGTCTTCTGGTAGAGAGGATGCCTCGAGTGTTGTCCTCACTTCTACAGTTTCCGTTTCCATAGGCTGCAATGACAATTTAAGTTATTGAATTCATTTAAGTCGTGAATTAGGTCTACATAAATAAAAATCTGCAAAAGACTTACTTCGATATCGGATTGTGGTTGTGATGGTTGATGCGTTGCAGCCGTCGACACGATTGTCGCTTGAGGAGGTACTTCCTTGTATATTAAAAGTGGTAGAATTTCTGATTCTGGAGGTTGTATAACCAGTAAGGAGTAGATACGGAATTGAATAACGAACGCATTCACTATCAAACGACGCATTGTAGGATGAATACCCTCCAACATCTCAGTCTATTTGAAAAAAAATTTTATTCATAAAAAAAATGTTAGAAAAGTCGAATGACTACTCCCAGTCACATGTACGAAAAATATCAATCTTTTATAGACTAAAGTATACATACCACAAAACGTGATGCCATTAATTCTAATCCCTCTTGTCCCCCACGAATGGAATATCGAAGCACTGCACATAATTCTCTTCCCATATTATTCACAATTATGAAAACTTCTTGACCGAAATTAGCATCATCAATTTCTAAAACAAAACAATAATTTAGATGTCATAATTAAAATTCAAAATTAATCATATCGACAACATTACAAACCATTATTAAACAGATGGTGTAATATATCTTTGATATGGCGACGGAACAAAGCTTCAATAGTAGCGCAAAGGTCTATACGTGAACCATTTCTATTGTTGTCTTCTTCTGCATTTAAGAGATTCTCGAAATGTGGTCTTAAAAGTAACAACATTCGTTCTATAGCTTGCTCCTGAATTGTTTCCGTTGGAACATTTGGGAAAGACTGTCGGAAAAATTCTTGTAGTGGTGCTCTAAGATTAGAAAGCGGTTCCGACTGACCAATGCGTAATCTTATTAATCCTTCTAATGTCATATTTTGTACCTAAAAAATAATTTGAAACGAAGAAAGAAAGAGAAGTCATCTTAATGCAGAAGAATATTATATATATTTATTTAAAAAAGAGAGATCCTTCACTTACCACTAATACACATAAATTCACAAGGAAGTTTTCAGCTTGAGATGTAAAAATACTCATTTGGATACCTCTACGTTCTAATAAGTTTGCGAGAGTAACATCTCTAACAGGATTATCATTGCTAATAATAAAAAACAACGTGGGAAATTAATATTTTGTACAATTTTGTGTATGTACATGTATATAATTTATACATATACTACGTGTTTGTGTGTATGTGAATATAAAATTTTACCCAGGTCCTGTGATTCCCACATGTACAGTTCCACCAGTATACATCTGTAACATGTTACCAAGAGTTTCGGCCATACCAGGATCTAGAAAAAAAGTTGGCATACGTTTTTTATTTCGAATGTTCAAAAAAACATTTTAATATCTACTTACTGTCACTATTGATGTTGATAGTAGTTTGTGGTTGAGTACCAGTACTTCCAAGCACCTGGTGTAATAAATATATAGCAGGATCATTCATGTTCGCTTGCGACGTCGTTGATGCAGTAGTATTTGTAGAACTAGTATTACTGGTTGCACTCGAGGTGGTAGCTATTGTAAGAACCAACATTCATATAGATGTAACAATGTTAACTTAACATTTAATTAACATACCAGTTTGTGGTTGTGTCTGCGTTTCAGCGGTGGTCGTTTGATTTGTTCGTGTTCCCTGTGATGGAGATGTAACAGGACTGGAAGTGAAACTTGAGGTGTGACGAACATGGTGCGACTGACAGGGTAGGAATGGATCAAAGTCATAAGTTGGTCCTAGACTCATTCCACCACCTACGGGATGTGTCACGTGTCGAAATCTGTGCGGACGCGATGTACTTCTAGTTCGCGTTGCCGTAGTAGGATGGGTACCAACATTGCTTCTAAAATGATACGTAATACATAACGATAATTAAGATCAAAATAGGTATTGCACCACAAAAATGCTAATATACGTACCGTGCTTGCGTGCTCTGCCCAGCGTTTGTATTTCCAGTATCCACTGGCGCAACAGTTTGTTGTATTACTGTTGCAGTACCTCCTTGTATCATATGTCCAGCAACAGTTTGCATCAAATCTCGTAAGAAATTCGGCGAACCCCAAGAAAATGTACCAGTGGTTGCACTTACTCTTGCTGTATAACAATAAAATTATTGTAACAGAAATAATAATTTAATACTAATTTACCGATATTAACTTACCGCCATTATTATTGTTGTTATTGTTATTGTTGTTAGTTTCGCTCGATTGAGTTTGTTCATCTCCAGATACAGCATCTATGTTACCTTCAGGGGCGACTTCCATTAAGAGTTCGACATCGTGAGGCAAATTAAAACCTGCGATATAATGTTAACACGTTAAGCGCGGAGCCGATTTTGCTTAGCTTTCCGTTTCGCCGAGGCGGGCCGCGACCACTCGACGAATGTTGGGTTACATAGTATAAACAGAAGATATACACATGTCGCGGTAACGATTTTGTTTCACTTTCCGTTTGGACTATGGTAATGGCACAGCCAATGCAGAAATATGCAAGGCATAAACAAAAGATGATCAGATGAAGAACGGGAAGAGAGCGACCTCAAGAGATAGATAGATCAGATCAATTCGGTTAGTGTTAATAAACTTCATTTAAATTGCAACATTTATTTTCAACTTTGACGTTGCCGGTCCCAGGCTCCAAACGAAAAGTTTACTGTCAGTCCCCAGGGAATGACGCCGCGCTCAACGTGTTAACTTTCATATCTACATTTCTTTTACTCAAAAAGACTAACATACGTACTAAACAGTGGTTCTGATTGCTGCTGCTGTTGCTGTTCCGGCTGTTCAGTTTGAGCTGGAGTAGTGCAGGGAAATTCCTGCTGTTGTGAACTATTTTCGGTATTGGTCTCACTTGTTTCAGCTTGCGTAGGTGCACTTCCGGACTCTCCGTTTTCCTCGTTACCATTATTATTATTTGCATTACGACCATGTAAACTGATATGTGCCTAATAAGCAATAGGGTAAGAAATGATGTCAGTAAATATAGAACAATGTTCATATCCCAGGATCGCTCATCCTCACCTCTACCTGAATCGGTATACCAGGATTACGCCAGATAGCTGAATGTTGAATAACAATCGGTCTACATCGCAAAGTTCTAGGTGGTTCTTGACTCATGTCCACAATTACATCGCTCAAAGAATGACAAGCATGTGACATATAATGTATGCATTCACCTACACCGTTCACATATGTCTGATTTTCTTCAACGCGTTCCTATTAATGACGTTTTTATATAAGGCTTCGCTAAAAACAAAATAGATTTATATTGATACAAAGAGTATTATATACTTACCCCCGGAGGTAATGAGGGATCGTCATGCATAATTTTACGATAACGCTCTATATGGGGTCGTAAACGATCTTGAGTATCAAGTAATAGGTCCAGCATCTCTGCCAAGCGTGAAAGTCGCGGAACTCTAAAAATTATATATTGATAAATATATTATGGAATAAAATATTATTTAAACAAGTATAAAATCTGTCAGAGATCATTACACTGGTGTTCGAGGATTTCCTTGTCCATCGCTAGTTGATGTAGATCCTTGTTCTGGTTCTTGTTCTTGTTGCGGTTGCGATTGCGATTGCGGTTGCGTTTGCGGTTGCGGTTGCGGTTGCGTTTGCGGTTGCGGTTGCGGTTGCGTTTGCGGTTGCGGCTGCTGTTGTTGTTGCGGTTGTTGGCGTTGTGTATCAGGTTGAGTCTCTTCATTACTTTCATTTACTACTGGCCTTGACTCAGAAATTTCATCACTACTTCCTGTTTAAAAAATACATGAATTCATGTTGTATCTTTGTGTAGGTGTGCTTTCATCCACATTGATTCTAGTACAAACCTCGAACTAAGGTGACGTTGTTTGCCCCAGCTGTAGATAAGGCAGCTGCTATTGCAGCAATAGCAGTTTCTATCAATCGGGCACCATTATTTGTCCTACCCTCGTTTTCGCTGGAAAGACTAAATAGTTTCTTGATTTACTTTATCATTGTACACTGTAAATACATGACAAAATTTTTTTACTTACGGCTGTTCGACGTCTATCTCTGATTCCTGCATCAATTGACCTAGACTTGGTGGATTGGTTTCGGCCGTAGGAAGATTACTAGAACGAGGATTTTCAAGTCGATCCATAACCCGGTCTGCACGTTCAAGCATGTGTCTTGCAGCAACTAATCGGCTATTAGAGAAACTACTACTGAACTGAGGTATTGGTATACCTATTTAATGGAATAAAAAAATTAAATATTCTACATATTACACATGTTTAAAGGAAATATTTATAAAACGACGTTACTATTAGTACCATGTTCTGCCACAACCCCAGCTGGTACTGCCATAGCACCCAGATACATAGCATGGCGTTGCATTCGAGACAGTCGATGATGTTGTGGTCTCAGTGGATTATGGTGCCAATTTACAGACCCACTGCTCTGATTTTGATTTTGACCTCTATCATTCCCACACCGATTAGGTTGTGGTGGTGCACGTTGTACCAAGTGTATAACTTTCCCATTAACATCTAAGTTATAAAATAATAGAAAATAGCATAGAATATTAACTTTACAGAAATAAATTGAATTCAATATAATATTATTTACCATAATCATTTAATTTCATGCGATCATGAAGAACTCTACCACAATAAATAAGTCTCTGAGAATCTGCTGGTACTGCTACTGTTTCTGCTATGTATTCCTTGAATTCTCTAACTGTAATTTGCTATAAAATTTGGAATAAATGTGTTTTATAATGATCATTTGTTTCTCTTACAGTCATAAAATGATATTAATACATATGACTTATATGTTAAAATATAATTACACATGTAAATATTATTGAAACATATATTCCATCAAAATTATATATTTTTTAATGTTTATAACATTATGCATTACATTTATAATTATTTTGTTTAATCTTCAACATGGCCATAATTTTTTTAAGAACAACATGATGGCATAATATAAATTAAATTTAAAAATATATTATGTTAAGCAAAATAATACAAACAAAATAACCTAACAAGATGACATTCAGAAAATGAAATTATGTTCACTTAATACGTATATTNTGTTTCTAGAATAATAATGAATATTATTATTTGGATTATAATGGACAGTAATTTTAATCATACACATATAGAATGCGAAGTAAATTTTCTGGCGAATCATGATATGAGAAAAACTTACATCGTCCTCCAAGGAAAATGGATGATTTTGTGAATCCAAGGTTTTCACCGTAAGGTTAATCATCGTGGATCGGCCTCAGCTGCTAGGATGGAGCTAAAATTCACGAAAACAGAAAGTAGAATGATGTGTACTAAGACGGACTGATGCGTAATACGGAGTCATCTTCTACACTCACGCAAGTACGTAGATAGGTACAGACCGTAAACGACACTTGATTAAGTGTAAGTAAGAATCCCGAAAAAATGGTCGATATCTAAGACGTAAAAAGGAATTGATCACAATGCTAGTTGACTTCAATATACAGAGAAATTAAATAACTAAATTCTAGCGTACTGTTCTTATTGTGAAATCATTTGTTTGACAAACCTGCCTATTAAATTTAACAGCAACGGCCGACACGACCCGACACGACCCGACACGATCAGACACGACGGACACGACACCACGGCAGACGTTATTTTACCCAGAATTCACTTTGGCTATTAATTGTTACCAATCCTCTAACTTTAACCCCATTATTCCCTAATCAAAGGATAACGACCATAAACATATAAGAATAGACCGCGCCAGACCACGCAACGCGCAAGCAGTCAGAAAAAATGTTCGGAGAAATACAGTTGTGTAGTACACAGAAAGGTAGACTGAGCAAACATGGTTAGATAAGGACACAGAGAGGGCTCGTATCATTCTCTTTCTCTGTTTTATTTCTTATGAGTTTAGTCGCTACCACCGATACCGGCAGAGAGGTCTCTCTGATACCGATAGCGTACTGTCGCACGAGAAAATCAGCAATTTTTTGCGCCCTCTAGAATATATTGCCACCGAAGTAGAAAACAGAAAGCAAAATATTCGTCGGTGTGCTGTTATTGACGATTACATTACATTACCGATTACATATTACAATAAACGAAATATTCATTTTTCCGTACGTTTTCCCTTTCCCTTTTCGACTTAGATATATGTATATATATATACGATGAAAATTAAGTTGTGTATATTAAGTCAGTTATTGTCCTTATCTCAACATTTATCAGCGCATACATTAAATTATTGAAATAGAATTTAATATGCAATTTATGATTACGCCGCATATGCGAAAGTCCTGGATATGAGTGCACCAAATGTCCACCATACCCAGGATTAAGTATTTTAGCGCAGTGCATAGGAATGAACAGAAACACCCCCACGACTGGCGAGGCAGACCATCCAAAATGCAGGATCCAAGCTCTGGTTAATCGCTTGACCGCTAAAACCGCAGTTTCTCCTCAGTCAAGCAAATTAACTGATACTGACTGATAAACTATTATTCGCGGCGCGGGTATACTAAGACGCGGGCAAAGTAGATTGATTGAAACGAGAGAGGGATGAAGTTAAATTTCTTCCGTTATAGAGTGGAATTTATGAAGGGATAACCCCATACCGCGTACACACACTCATATTCATACGCATACCCAACATTCAAAGCGAAAATACTTTAAATAAATTTGAATTTACTTCAACATTTAGAATGACAGAAGGGAATAGTTTTCGCTTTGAATTATGCACTCATTCTGATACATACATTATGAACTGTACCGAGTTCTTTTTTTCGATCTTCCCTTTTCGAGCTTCAAGTAACAACTTGCTCGAAAAGTGTCGTACACCATTATGGTTTCTACCCCCTCTAGGCCCTCTATGGCTTCTATATATTGATAATGCTATAAGTTACATGAAAGTGGTAATGAGGCGTTAAAGGTCCACAAGAGACAAAATAGATGTTATTACTTTTGGGGACAGGTGAACATGATTCTGCGTGAATAGGTATCCGCGTACATATGTACACGTGTAAAAAGGAAGATATCGAATCGCCGTGAAGATCGCGTGATCCGGACGAAGATGAAAAAGAGAAGCAGAGGAGACTCACGGCAGGCCGATCGCATTATTCAGATTAGGGCATCGACTGAACCACGCGAGTGTGCAAGTACACGGATTTCTTTGTATGCGTGCATGCATGTAAACATAATCGTGTCGGTAGAAGATAATACGGCCGATCGTACGTCGCAGAAGAATGTTAATGGTGCTTCAGTTTTGTATGCAGGAAGTGACGGCACGGCGTGTCTCATACCGTAGCGGATCCCGGCGCCCCGGCGCGGCGCCCGAGCAGAAAAAGCCCCAATAAGACCGATAGAAACGAAAAACCGAGAGATTCACCCGTTCCTGTGTCGAAGAATGGAAAGAGAGATGCTCCTTTAAATCCCATCATAAACACGCACAGGGGCTCTCAACGTCTTTCAAAAATATATAATTTACACGAGTCTCTAATTTTTTAACCCGAATTCGGCAACCATGGTCACGTATTATCAACGCGATGATACTTCACTAAAGTTTTCGTATGATACATATTGAGAATATTGCTGGTTTCCATAATTGTTGCATAATTTGTATAACAACAACTAATAAAACTTTAAGAACCAGTTAAAACTAATAAAAATATAATTCGTTCACGCCTTAAAATGACTCCTATGACTAAAAGTTAAAATAACATTCTATGAGAAATAGCAGCGAGCTATGTGAATCTAAATAAATAATAAATGTACATACGAATCTGAATACGTAATGTACTTAATGATAGTGGAACAACGGGATATACATATGTACGTATGTATGTAAGATCGAGAATCAAGGGCCAATGCTATTTTTATTGATAACGCATTACATTGATTTGAGATTCATATTTGGAGAATGAAGATCGCTGTGTCAATGCAGCGAGAGAAAAAATAAAGGGTTATATCTTTTAGCCCTATGGTATAAGAAATAGAGGCGCCAGCCAGAGTTGCAGCTTCGTAATGATATAGCTATCTCGATTTAACATTCCTCGGGGTCTTGTCCGTTAATACTTGCTTGGCGTTTTGCAGATCTTGGCACAGTTTACTTACTTTACTTCGTTTACTTTATAATAGTAATGTTAATATGCGTGGAACATGCGAATATTCTACAGTACAAGAAGAAATGGAAAAAGACTAATAAGAAACATCGTATTACAGAGTAGAGCAACGAAAATTACATTGTAATACTAATATAACATTTACTAATGATATAAAGTATTGTGAAGTCTTTGGTAATATGGTACACACTTTTTACATTCAGTATATTACATAAAGTGTATTTGAAAAATTGATTCGATGAAATTCTAATTCATTGCTATTATCATATTAAACGATTGCATATTTAATGATTGCATATTTAATGATTTGATTAATAATGGCACATAAAATCAAAATGAAGCATGTGAAATATTTCGTCCCCCTTCAGCCACATTCGACACGACCAATTATCAGCTACGGTTTGCTAGCTTTTTATAATATTTACTTAGGCTTCCTATTTGATCAATAGTTACATCTGTTCCTCCATTGTAAGTTCGATTAAACATGTATACGTATGAATAATCTTGGCATAATTTGTATACTTCGAAGCGGATCCTCCGAAGAATTCAAAACGCGAATGTTAGCTTAGACTATCTCGCGCTACTTTAATGTTTTTATATCCTCTAAACTGCTACTTGCTCTCGTCCTCCTTTCTCGTCCTTTTTCTTTCTTTCCATCGTACCTCTTTCATGGTAAGAAAACGAGGAGTTCGCGTGCGTGTCTCGAAGCTATGCAACAAGGAGAGACCCAGAGGAAGAGTCGGTAGGAGGGATAAACCAATACCCAAGCCGGTAGCGAGCAAGTGCGTGATAAGTTAAATCGTGTGTGCTCGTGTGTGTTGGCGCCAGGCCGCATTCTCGCATTCGTTAACCAACACATCGAGTAGTTAGTCCATCCGCAGCTCGTGCCTTCCTCTCCCTCGTTCCCGCCCTCTCTTCAGCCCTGCCTCTCGCCCGCCAACCACCCGCGATATTAAGAGCGGTCACGGATCCCAAATTTGCCATTAGCGAGGAGGTGGGATACCGATTTGTCCTCGTCCCATTTGCACATCACCGGTACGTCGTAAGGTGACCGGTTTCCACTGGTGCAGATCGGCTGCTAATCATGTATCGGGACAAAGTAGTTATCCAGAAGATGACGAACGTACCACATCCGTGTCCGGTTATCACGAACGTTATTGTTGCAAAGATAACGATCACGACTTCGCCCTTGGAAGTCGATCACACTTCCTGATCAATTTCAAAATAAAGAATAGTATAGCAACAGAATAGCATAGAGATGTTAATAGTGAAACATAAACTCTCTAATTCTGTTGTCACGCAATTTATAAGTAATTTCTCGAAGTATTTTATCGTTTATCTCTATGGCGAACGATCCATTTAATGCGTTCCACAGATAGAGAGACGTCGCCACGGCATTAACGAGACGTTAATGATATGAGTCGGACATAAAATGAGATTCCTTTATTCATCCATCGAAGAAAAGCGTGATGATGCGTTGCATCGTGTCGCGCAGATCATAGGGTGTACTATAAGAAAATACGTATTTGCTCGGGTTTCAATGATCCACGAAGGAACGTTCGATCGATGAAGTCGGTAATTCATTTATATTGGTTTACAATGGACGAAAAGGAGCGTTGAAACGGTGCGTATAAATCAATGATAATTATAGATAGCGTAATGAGCCAACTGCGTAAGTTGTAAATCGCAACATATTTCTTTTTCTCTATTGACACTTCATACTGCGATTCGACGTAAGTGTTATGAACTTTACGTAGTTTAATTTAAAAAAATTGTACAATTTAAGAAAATAGTTGATCAAAAATCTGACAAATGATAAAAAAATAAAAACGTTATCGCATGGCACGACATTGACTACCTGAGATTATGGCACCGCATCGAGATCGTGAACAGCGCTAAACGAAACGTGAAAAAGACGAAATGCATAACTGTCTCGACTAATTGAATCAATAAATTCGTACACTTTTGTTACCTTCATGTATCCGAGAAGATGAGAAAGGTAACAATTGTGTAGACGAAAGCTTAATGACATTTCGAGGCATTATTGTCAACAAATGCTGGATTTGCATATAAATCTGCTAATCAGTACTTTAATTGCTAAAATAAATGTATATAACTGCTTGCCGACAGTATGCTGATTGCAGCAACTGTATCAGACATAGCAGTCTTGTCCACGCGTTTGATTGTTAATTGACCCCATCAAGATACTGTAGGATGTCACTTTTTCTCAAAGAATCGGTTTACGATAAGTCCAAATGTCGCTCGAGTGTCTTCTCAATAGTTACCATAGTAAAGGATGAAGAGCGAAAGGGAAGAAGAAATGAACGAACGTGAGCAAAGAGAAAGGTGGAGAAAGCGAAAAAGAAAGAGAGGGATCTATGAGCGAATCATCTGGTATTTTCTTTTAGCTTGCGGACCCCGAAGCGGCTAAGCAAAGGTCAAAAGTTGAAATGAATCTTGTTATCGGTGCAAATACCGCCTTCGCATATGTAATGCGCCGGTATCGAAAGATTGACGGGACTTCATACTGTCAGACACATAAAAATGAACCGTTCGAACTCCAAGTCGTTATCCAGAAAAAGACATAAGTGTCTCAATCCTCTAGCTCAATTTGCCCCTCAGTCGAAATATCAAACTGAGACCAACTACTCACATACTTTCACATAAGTTTACATACATGAAGCCACAGGTGACATAAACCGTAACATAAGTACGTAGTAATCATAACGTATGAAATGATCTACTCGCGTTGATATACAAGTTTATTTGTCCCATTTAATGATATCAGTTCCCATTGGACGATAACAACACGTATCAATGTTCAATTTGTTTGAATCGTTACAATTAACGTATGAGCTCATTGTCAGTGAAGAGACTTATGTGAATTTCGCGATCTCTCGGGTTCGTATATCTACTCGATAAGAAATTGCATGACAAAAGTAAGGGGATATATGTGAAATTCCTTTAACTCCTATTAGTTCGAGCGAAACGCAAATGAATAGATCGAATATAGTCATCGATCGAAAACGGAGAGGGAAAAGAAAACGCACAACAAAAAGAATGGAAGATATGCGTATTTGTTTCTAGTAATGTCTGTGAAATTGTTTATGAATTTGCTGTAAACAACATTGGGAAAAAGTCTGAACAGCGACTGCAAAAACACTCGGTGGATTACGAACTATTTGCCGGTATACATATGTATACACGCAGCTTCTCACGTGCTGTGTTTCCGGTTGCTCGCTGGTCCGAGTGAACCGCCAGAGATAAATAGAACTGACGGTCACCGATAAAAAGCGGAGAACGAACGGAGGGAAAGCGAGAGAGAACAGAGCAAAAGAAGAGATGTCTCGATGTACGCACACATAATGTACGAGTCCTGAGAGAAGTCGGATTCCCTCCCGGAGCGGACGCGCGGCGCGACGCCGCCGCGCCACGGCACGACGTTCCGACTATAAGTAAGTCTCGCGCGGCGCGTCGCGGCTTAATGCCGTTGCCGCGTTCGTGGCGCCAAGAGGAGGGCCATTGGCGACGATAAGCCTCCTTCGTGTCCGGCACGAATGAGAAAAAGAAAGAGAAAAACGGAGATAGACACGCACAGCAGCCAGCTTTCACCCGCGTTTCAGCAGTGAATACATATATATACATATCCCGTCTGGGGTGTGGATCGCGACAGTGTAGATAATACGTTGCGGTCAGCCGTGCTCGGCCAGTGTCAGTCTAGAGTTAGTGTCGGTGAATAGAAGTGACCGAGTCGATTCGCGAGTCACGATAGCGTCGAATACACAGTTTCAATCTTTAACATCTCGAATTCCTTATATCAATCTTCGCTACTTCACTTTATCAGATTGTTCACAATTTCCTGAACAATTGTGCCGGAATCTCAATAATTCATAATCACCGGTGAAAGAATCGGAATTTCCGTCGGACTTATTCGACGTTAATATTTTAAATGCAAAAAAATACTTTATACTTGGAGTGATTGTCCCTGTCAGTAATTCTATTGTGTATTGTGATACGGAAACAGCACAGCAGAAGAGATCGGTACGAGTGTACAAAGTAGTGACAGACAGAGCGAAAGGGTGAAGAGGTACCAGCGTAGGGTGGTCGGTGTACCCAAAGGTGATGCGTAGTCCGTAAAGACTGTTGAAGAATCACATTTATCGCCCACTCTCGAAGACCTTCCCTTTGGTGCGTTTTGATGGTGATCATTGCAGTCGTGTTTTGACGTTCAAACGAAGCAAAATGTCGGGGCTGCTTTATACACTTCTGGGGCTGGCAGCCAGCACGAGTCTCCATTGCGCTGTTCGCCGAGAGATAAGCCCATGTACCTGCCGGCAGGAGGAGTTCTCCAGTTCCGTTATCAATCCGGCGCAAGCAGCGGCCGCAGCCGCAGCGGTCGCAGCCGTCGCGAATACCGGAAACAACCCTAGCCATCATGGACACGGGGAGCGAATCGAAGTCGTGTGCGAACGTATGGACTCATTCGAGCAGGTCGCGGGCGCGTTAAGGGGTAAATTTACCACCGAGCAACAAATTATCCTGCGAGTCTCGCATTCGAACCTCAGGGACATATCACGGCATGATTTTAAAGAGCTGCGGATGTCTATCACCAGGCTTGAACTCAACCACGATCATCTAGGGTGAGTGTAAGTTTACATGCATCGAATCGGGACTATCGAGAATTTTTTATCTGTTACAAAATTTCAGCATGAGATATTTTTTTTAGAAGAAGAGAGAAACTCTTTTTTTCTCTCCATCTAGTGATGTATCTCTTTTTAATTAGATTTTAACTGTCCGTGCTTGTTTTTTCTTGCATTTATTTCCATGAGGATTTTTTCATCCATTAGTTACATTGAAATGTTTCAATGTTAGTAACGGCAGTGATTAAGGCGTTTTGTTTGCATCGAAATACAAAATGCGAAGAAAACAAATGCTTTTTTGAACTTTTTATAAAAGAATTACTGAAAATGTGTAAAGGTACTTAAACAATTTTTGTGAGGACAGTGTACAATAGTAATTGCAAGCTGAATCTCAAATTAACTTTGACGTATGTACATAGAAGAATTGTAAAACGTTTTGCTCGCAGTAAATGCGAAACTTGAGTTCTGTTCGGTATGGTAACAAAGCGTTCAATGAATATCGAAAGAATGAATGCTTTTGCTCATGATCGACCTCGCAGTTTCAAGGAATCTTCCTCGATCATTTCGTGGAAGTGGTAAAATCGAGGAAATTCTTCAAGTACTCTTGATGTTGATAAAGAAAATCGTGTGACGACGATAGTGACGCGTGAATAAGTGATGTCAGCCACGCTTACTCTGACCATGCGTACACATTGACCGAGCTAACGTATCATGTTTCTAGAAGTTTTAAACTGTTTCGTAGTCCTCTCTGCGTAATTTTTTCCAATTTAACTACGCAACTTATCCGTCGATGAAATATTTTTCATATAAAAATTACGTGCCTATAAAAATTTGCGATTATAGTTCCAGTCGAGTGAACCGTTACGACATCATCTGGAGAATCGAGAATCGTAGCGGTCTAAGTATATTCGGCATTCGTTTATGAATTTTGAAGAATCCTCATGCATTTTCTTAAATAAAAAGATACGATAGAGAACGAAATCTCAATGCTTTGAAAAATTTTTAGATCGATTTTAACCGAAAAACATAATTAAGCGTGTTCATCAACCTCTTGACTTATGCTTCTATAATTCTCGATTGTTTATTTTCGATTTAATTATTTTAAACATAATTCATTTAGTTTTACAAATAAGTACAAATTTTTAACATCGTTGTAACGATCGACAGATTTCGCTCGTCTGATTATAAAATTCGTAATCTCTGAAGAATAGAGAATAAGACACCGTCAAAACTTTTGTAAAATATAAGGCATAATTGCAAGCAAAATCTAAAAAAGAATCGCGGTGATTCCAGTAGTTAAATGTCGGACTTCGATGCCCGGAAGTCTCCCGGGTCTGGAAAATTAATATACTTATTAAAACTGCGGTATCTTGGTAATTTGTAGTCCACCTAAAGTAATACGGCACCCAATGTCAATTCCGTCATAATTTAATGATTATCACTGTTTTATACTGTACCATGTCCTACGAATCATTTCTGCAGTCGATTCGACGTGAAACAACAATAAACGACAAAATTGGATCGAAAGAGAAGTCAAGAGAATATTGTGTAACAGGTGTAATGGAACGTAGTTTATAGCAGGTATTCGAATGCAGACGATCGTCATTTAGGACTCATAGAGGAGCACGCGTGCAAATACATCGTATGAGTTATTGATACGAATGACAATATCTCCACAAAAGGTCATCGTCTGATGGTTGCGAACATTGAGTAAAGATGTTTATATGTAACAAAGAACCGATTCCAATTGGTGTAATCGTTTAGCAAACCGACGATTTATGCGTAACATTCAATAGTAAAAATTCCTCTCGAATCATTGAAAAAGACGAACGTGAATTGTCCTTTGATTTATGATACGTTTACGTTAACGTTAATGCACGTTTACACATATGGTTGTCGAAAACAGTTACATACTAGAACCTGTGTCGTCCTTTATATTCGCGAGATATTTATTTGCATATTTTTATATTTTTACAACCGTGTTTATATAAACTATTAAATAATTTCATAATAACCAGACGATTTGGGTACATAGAAATTGACTCGTTGAATCCAATTTTATTGTACAGGTTGCGTTGTCCAGCAGGGTTTTAGTATGTATTTTAAAAGGCAGACAAATTAAAATGCATTGATGCTATTAGAAATAAACATATCGAGTTTTACCGTTTCCGTTTTTTCATAAAATCATTATTACGAACTGGCACAAAGGATGAACACTCTTCCTTGATTATTACGATACTACCATGATACACTTTGCCAGATGAAAGAAGATGAAAGTCCTTGACGAGTGAACAATCATCTTGAATGCGTCGCGTCGCGTCGTTGCTTCCCGAGCGAAGGATAGAAAAAGAGGAAGAGTTGTACGGGCGCGAGAATGAAATCTTAATCGTGCCTGACCTCTTCGAGCGAGTTATCAAGAAGAGGGTCTTCTCTTATCGTCTCGAGAAATAATTAAATAATGAAATGCTGTGAGCCAACCAGTACATGAATAATCAAATGATAATGACCGTGCGTCGCCTACGTTCTAGACATTCTATTGGCCCTTTCTCCTCAGATGTATTTTGATAAAGATTTGCATAATTTCAGAAACGTGACATAACATTGCGAGCTGAATTTCATTTATTAACGAGTTTAAGTTATGTACCAGAGTTCGTATGATGGAGTAACACAGGCATATTTACGTGTAAATGCATTTGTTTAAACAAATAACATCTTAAACAAATTAATGAAAAAATTATATTTTTCAAAAAGCGATTGCACGACTGGATTTTACAGGACAAATTATGAAGAAAATCTACTGACAACATTTGTATGAAAAATGCATTTGTCGTTGAGATTAAAAAAAATAAAAAACATTTAATTACAACATGAGAACAGGCTATTATAGTGACTGGAGTTGTGACGGGAGAAAACATTCGCGAACGAAAACGCGACGGGGATGCTAATATCTTACAAACGACATTCAAGAAAGACTTGAAAATTTGTACCTATGTGCTAAATATAATTATAGGCATATGTGCAAAGGTATCATAATTCACAGTTTCACTTTAGAAATACAGCATTTTAAAAAGCGCATTTTGAAATAAAAATCCAGCGTCGAGTCTTGACGACACTAACAATGACAGCCAATTGTTCGCAGACACATGTCTGCGAACTGCGCATGTTCTTTCTTGAATTTGTATTTTATCCTCCGTTATTACCGCGCAAATAATGTACGCGAATAGTCTACAGATGGGAGGCAGAATAGATAGATAGATGATGGAAGAAAAAATACAAATCCAAGACTATCTGCAGAAAACTGGGAGCGATTTTAGCAATTGTATATTTCCTATGTCTTTCCTAACGAGCTACTTTTCTCTCTCTTAATAGTGCTTTAGTATACAGTATCAATAAAAATTTAATCTCTAGCTTATAAAAAGAATTTCTCAAAACCTACAAACTTCGTACCGATTGAATATATGCATACATTCTGTTCTTGAACAGTAGTGCAAATCATTCCTTTGTGCCCTTAATCTTCTGTATTACGGAAAAATTTAAGTCTACTTTGTTAGTTCGTGACTAGGGCAATGAGCGAGATAACTTCATGTCTTATAGATAATTGTGATTGCATATCGTTCGCCGGCCATGTGTTTACAAGGACCACATGTTGCTCGATTTCTGATCGCTTACGTAGCGAGATAAGCCACTAGCGACGGAAACATTTAACATTTTTTGAGGACACCAAAGATGCCTATTTTTTCATACTCGAGACATATTATTTATCTATATTAGCAATCTTTAACACTTTACACATCTTGTGATTCGAATCTTTATTTGTAAGTTTGATCACTGAATGGGGCAAATGAATCTCTGCTTGAGATAATGAAAAATTTTAATAGGAATAAATAGTAATAGAAATAATTATATGAACAATAATGCCAGAGTACAATCCCGGTGAGACATTTACCGAGGCGAGTGCTACCTCCTTGTTGGCTCGTCAGTCGCGAAATTATTACATTACACTTTTGTGACTGGACATGAATGTTCTCGAACTCACAGCTCGCCATTGCGTATTGTAATAAAAAAATTAATTGTGAATGAATTGAGAAACTGTATGCTGACGACGTGAGACGAGACGATACGAGCTCGACGAGAGGCAAGGATGCAAGTACACTCTTACGCTCGATTGCTCTCGAGAATGTACTGCTGGCATAATAAATATCAATTATTGTAAATGAAATATTAAAAATTGAAAAGCGACTTTAATGTTTCGCAGGTACGTGGATGGTGAAGTTTTCGCGGGATTGGGGAGAACGCAGTATCTCAGTCTCGCAGATAACGAAGTACCGGCTATACCGCGGCACATTTTGTCACATCTTTCGTTGCTGAGGACCCTTGATCTCAGCAGAAATCGGATAAATCGTATAGATTCGGATGACTTTAAGGTACGCATGTGTATTCATAAAAATCTGTTTCATCAGCTGTTCACTAGTTACTATATAAACATTGATACACGTATCTCTTTATACATATATTCATATACGGGATTGCAAGAATGATCGACGCGACTTACATTCTCAATAAATTGTGTGTCTTATATTGTTTTGCGCGCTTCACACAATCGTAGATTTTATGAACCATTTATTTCAAACGAATGGATTTGCCCTCTAATGATCCTTGCACGAACGCTAAATATGCATGTGTAATTTTCAATGTCGTCAATCGAAGTGAGAAACTTCCATCGTCTGCATCTCTCCTTTTTTCTTATTTTACATATTTTATGTAAGAGACATGTAAAATAGGGCAAAAACCAGTATTGGTTGATCGTTTCGATTGTCACGCTTTATGAACAAGCACATGTTATTAGTGTTCAATTACGAGAGTTTGTGATCTTTCTTGACCAAATTAATATTGACTCCAATAAATTTAAGATACACATTCATCGATTAAGTCTAATCTTACATGCATTTAGTAACGCATAAGAAACATGTGGAATCATTTTTATGTCTACTTATTACGTGCATTGATTCCAAAGAAAATAATGTCATTTACGCACCTTCCAATAATGATTTTATGTTTAACACTCAATCCTATTAGATACGAATACAATAACGTTTTTATTTCCTTACTTCGTTTCTTTCTCTTTTCCCATAGGTTTTTCTCTTCTTTTAACTAAGCATATTGGTCAAGAAGAATTCGATCAGAAATAACGTTTTCACTTCTTTTTATTTATCTATTTCCTTCCTTACCGTTCTTTAAAGAAATAAATAATACGCTGAGTGGATACATTCTAAACACGTTTCGTATACTACGCGTGAGTTAAAGCATTTGTAACCGGCGTATGAACGAACAATTCATTACGAGGAGAGGAGGGCAACTATATACTTACTACTCGGTAGAGGTTGGTGGGGTTTCCCTGGCGCTTGTCGCGCACGTGACCGGCCACGTGCAGAGAATTGTTCCGTCAATCGTTTTCTAGACGATTCATGCTACTTACGAAGATTTTTTTTATTTCGCGACTGTATTTCGTGTGCTAAAAAACGATAGAAATTACGCAAAGTACGTGTATTACCGATGTTTCGATCTAATGAAGAATTTACTAATTGAATAAAGTTGCAATTTTTACTATTCTCCACAACATTTTGATTTTTATTTCGTATCGATTGGACATCGATGCGTTTTAAGTAATAGAGAAAAAATAATGTTTATTTGGATACTTTATGGGAAAGAATGACTTCGTGTAACAATATTGATCCATTAAACAAAAATGTTTATCGAACAATAGTAAATGCATGTTGATTTGAATTTGAATTGATTAGTATAGTAAACGCGGATGCTTTGGAATCATAAACTTCCTGTACACTTCGAGAAAATCATGTCATGTAACAATGTTGTTTAAGTAATCTGTTAACGCTCATCGTGTAACCTTCGGTCGTGATTAAACATCGCAGATTCTCGTGTTTAATGACGTTCATCCACACTGCTGAATATGGAGTATAATAAACAGCTGTCTCATTACTAGTCTGCTTAGTTTCATTTCAATTTCCTCATAAGAATCGTGCGATTGCAAATCTCAACATAAAATATATATAATACGTATAATAATACGTATATGCAGTCGATAGAATACTAAACTTCGAGTAAAAAAGTTTTACACAGAACAGGATAAACGACTAATGCAACTGTACCGTTCGAAAATGCATATTCTCAAAGGGCACTTTTTACCTATGATTTTCAGTACAATCCGACATTACAGCATCTCTCTATGGCCGGAAATACGATTTCAGAAATGATGCCGGGCTCGTTGCCGCCGTTAGTGAAGCACCTACATGTCGGCCGCAATCACTTGCAAAGTCTGAATCGAACCTTACGGTACGACACTTTCTTGATTACTGCAAAATTTACGTTCATTCACGAAGCTCCTAGAACGTATCGGACATCCTGTTTACCATTGCTACGGTGGCTCTAATTTAATTGGTTCTATTCATCGTTGATGTAACAAGAAGCCTCCGCGGACTGGACCGAATGATTAAGCGAACGTGCACGCAGATTATATGCTGAGGAGAGAACAATTAAGTTCGCGATCAAGTCACGTGCTCAAGATTATGCATTTCGGAGAACCGTTTCTCTTCTCTTTCGAACCTCGAATCGGATAAAAAAATATAAAGAAAGGGAAAGCTTAAGTTTTGTTTAAAGAAATTGTTGGGGAAGACTTTTTGACCAACATCGTAATAGAATAAAATAAATAAAGAATTTTGGTCCCTCGCGTTCGATGGAGGAATCAGTTTTATTTTGGGAACTTAAGACAAGAACGTCATCGACATGGATTAATCTTATTTCAGAGATTTGAATCAGTTGGAATGGCTGCTAATTAACGCAAACGAGCTCACGTCTCTGGACGGCGAGCTACCGTCCTCCGGTCATAATTTGAAAATGCTCTACGCCGTGGACAATAAATTAACTCATCTGCCAGCGGAATTTCGTTACCTGCATCGTTTGGAAACGTTGTTTCTTCAGCACAACAAAATTCGTACTCTAGATGGTACACTGCAAAAGGCACGTCGGTTGAAGTTCCTCGAACTTTCGTACAACGATCTACAAGAGGTACGTAATGATCAATCATATTCATAACAAAAAATTAACAATTACTTACACTTTTTTACATTAAAGAATTATCATTAAATAGTTCACAACTGTTATCTCTTTTCATTGGAAATGCAGTGGCATGTCTTGTGCAATTCACAAGAAACAATTAGTCGTCAGACAAGCCGGTATCAACATATTAACATTTGCATAGATTAATTTTGTGCTTTAAAATATTCTACTTTGAATCCGTTATCATTGTCATTGAAGATACGAAAAGAAAAAAAAACATTTTTTCAAGTTGATCAATAATAAAAAAAGATATTGCGCGATAATTAAATGATGGATCAAAAGTGTTTCGCTTTAATTTATTTATTTATTATCCACAAAGCACGATGTTGACATCGACGCAACGCGGTAGTCGGTTAAAACATGCAGATATAAGTATGTATACGAAGTGCAAGTGCACGATCTCGATGTATGATAACGCGATGTATGGAGGCGTTCGTTCAGTGTTCCGTGCATTAAGTCAATTACTACATCCTAATGTAATTACATATTACATGTGTCGTACGCTTCCGACCCGCGGATTAAATTTTTATTAAAACTGACGGCTCGTACTAGATGGTCTTCGTTCCAATTCTACAATCTGACTGGTCTTTTTGGCTTACTATAAGGTTTCACCATTACCACATCATAATAAGAGTTCTTTAATCGAGTTGAAAATGAATTGTACAATACAAGATTGAAGTATCACGATAATTAAAATAAATTCAGTAACGTAAAGATGATTTTTACTGAGAGAGGCCAGAACCTCGCCTTATTTCCTTCCAATGTTTTTTGCATTCTGTTTCATATTGCATATCTCATTGCGCCCCAAGTATTAGCTTATTTTTTATGAGATAAAAATAAGAGTTTGCTAAATATGTTTTTACATATACTGATAATTGTGAAACACAGGGCACTGGAGGTGGTCAGACTGCATTTTGGGAATGGCCCACTTCATCCTCTATCTAATCACGTTAATGAACTAAATTTAAAACAAAATCATAAGAGAGTTAATAAATATTATTCGGGACAAAATGTGTACGTTTTTCTCAGCTAACGGAAGAGGATTTCGTAGAAGCAGAAATGTTAGAAGAGCTGCAAATCGGACATAATTCTTTAAAATCATTGGGCGGTGCTGGTGGAGGTAACGGTGACGGAAACGGAGGCAACAGTGTCCTTTATCCTCTTAGGTCTCTCAAGTGCTTGAACTTGACGCACAACGAGCTTACCGATTTTTCATTCGCTTCACTTCGTGGTTTGCGCGAGCTCCGATTGTTGGATCTCTCGAACAACAAAATCGCACACCTTCACAGAGGAAGAACACCATCAGAGGTACGTGCTTAAGTTTCGAAAGAGATTATGTCGCGCCACATGAAATTCAGTATTATTTTATTTGTACTTATCCAACAATAAGTTCCTGGCAAACATTATACCATCGTATAAGTGTTACATGTTACATTTTTTATGAACTTCATGACTTTTACTGTGCTGCACGTATATTTTATAAGTGTCTATGCTACAACTTCAAACCCAATGAGCTGAACAAATAACCCAAGATTCCTGATCGCTTTCCTTATTTTTACAGAATTTAGTAGAAGAGGAAGGAGACGAAACTGCCGGTGGAAACATCCAGGATATGCGTCTTCAACATAACGAACTACGAAGCTTGGACGGCTCATTGTTCCTCGGAATGAAAGAATTGCAAAGGCTGAATCTCAGTCACAATGCTCTGGGACCAACAATTGGACCACGTGATCTACGAGGCCTTGATGGTCTCAAAGTCCTTGATCTCTCCCATAACGAGCTCACCACTCTTGAGGATACATCAGAGGTATGCATAATTATACGTGAAATCAATTAAAATTTATTGTTCCTATCAAGAGATTATATTGTTTCACGAGTTATTGTACGATACAGTCTAACTGATTAAAATACCAAATAGAAGATTTATAATAAATGCAAAATTTCGATTCAGTTTACGTTATTCATTACTGCATTTATTGACACAGTATCAAAAACAGAAAATCTGCCTATAAAATGTTAATTGTATTCTTTAACAATGTTTCGATGGAAAATAGTCTTTTTATCACGGTAACCTTCATTCTGTTCAGACTTGGCTTCCCTCTTTGGAGGAATTAAACGCGTCGCACAATCGCTTAGTGACACTGTCCGAGAGAGACTTCCGCGGATTCCCGGTTCTCTGCTGGGCAGACGTGAGTGCGAATCGAATTCGAACGTTGATGCCGGAACTTGTTGCAAACACGCGTTGTACTGTGCACGGTGTTCCTGACGTGCTTCGTATATATCTCCAAGGTAAGTCTTAATCTTCTGTTATCAACGTTATCAAATATTACGCCATCGATTGCTGACGACATTTGAAAAATTTGCCAGACTTCCTGCTCCCCTTCTTGCTTCGCGAGCAAACACAGTTAATAACGAATCATCGATAAACAAAATTGAAACCATTGATTGAAACATATGCTGTATTCAAAGAAAAAATGATTCACGTCTTTTCTTTTGATAAAATATAAACATCATCAGATGAAAAGACAGAATATTTTAGATTACGTATATATAATAAAACAGTAAATTAAATACAGGTGTATTTGATTTTTCACAAACGTCATTCTATTTGATCACACGAAACCATATTTTTTATTGTTTGTTTTTCTTGTTTTTCCAAAGTTTCGTGGAAAAGTTCATTCTGATACCTATATAGATCAACCGCGACACATGATTACTTTGATATGACGTTTAAGTCGAATATAAATCATTATAACTTTCGCGTTCACTCAACAATTTGAATAATGTGTCGTGTGCAAATACGCATAGCCGTCTCGGCTCGAAAGCCGATGAGAAGCGTTCGATTACCTGTACGAGACAACATCGTGCGATTTCGCTTTCCACTGTCGTAAAAAGTAAACGTCTTTATTAAACACAGACGTGATGAGTAGGCGCCAGTGCATAATTAATAAATATATCGTTAAGTGTCGCCAAGACAGACGTATCGATGAATAGATGAGTGGGAAGGAGAAGGGAAGGGTGATGAAAGTGGCCGGTTGGCGGCAGAAAATGAATTACTGCTTGATAATAACGATGGCTCCGTTCGTATCCCGCATCTTTATTTTGTTGTAAGACTTACATTTAACGCGATAACCTCCGTCGTGGCGCCATTTCACATTATTTGTTGTCGAATCGTTGCTATTGTTAAAACGTATGTATAATATATATAAAATACACAAGTTTTCATGATGGTTTCGCTATCGTATCCGATCCCTGGTTATAGGTATCACGGTCAGCCTGATCACTTCCAGAACTCCCCTTCTTGTTTCCTGTTCACGTTTTCATTGAACGATTTCATTTTCTTCTACGCGAAAGATGTTTCTATTCCGCGAATCATTCCTTGTTGTTCCAGTGTCGTTATCATTTAATTCAAATCACACGATTGCGTATTTATAAGGCCTTAACAAGGTATCACGGTCAGCCTAATCACTTCCAGAACTCCCCTTCTTGTTTCCTGTTCACGTTTTCATTGAACGATTTCATTTTCTTCTACGCGAAAGATGTTTCTATTCCGCGAATCATTCCTTGTTGTTCCAGTGTCGTTATCATTTAATTCAAATCACACGATTGCGTATTTATAAGGCCTTAACGGCCGATACGACCGACCATCAATATGAATAAACCTACATACATCAGCCAGCGATTAAACCTTCGATGTAATCTCTTCAATTCTCTTTAATGGACTATGTTAACGGATGATGATTTCATGAGAGAAATGGTCAGATGCCTGTAATGTAGAAGCTTCTTAAAAAATGTAAAAAACGTAGTATTTGTACTTGTAGACGTATTATAGTGTATATACACATATATATTAGAGTTTATTAAAATAAACAGAGCTCATGGCTGATACTGTTCAATAAGCGATTCTACAAACAAAAGTATAATCCTGAAATAAATGCTGATCACTACATATTGAATAATATTCGATAATTAGCCGTTCGAAATAGATAAAAAATAGTTAGACACTGTTTCGATTAAATCTCAAGTATGTGGACAAGAGTGCAATCAGTCTTTAGCACGTATGATACGAAACCCATATGTACCAATTATTGTTATCAGAGTTCTTCGCTTATCAGCCAACGACACACGTCACAGAAAAAGCTTGCCCTTTGTGATCTTCCAATGTTTTTTTTTGTTTGCAGATAATCCAGTACTGTGCGATCCCGGTCTTGCAGACCTGACTGTGGCTTTCGAAGTGAATCATGCGAAAGTCTATGGTGTTGCCAATAATTGCCCAACTACCGCGACGCTTATCGAACAAACGTCCCCGCTTCCACCGCTGCCACCGACACTGCTGTTGGCCGCCGCGGCGGCCGCATCTGGCGGTAACGTTTCTTTCGCTGCGACCCTCGAGTAATTCTCCCGAATCGTGCGAAGAATCGCCTAAGGACCGCAAAGAGGTATTTAAAGGAAGACGAAGAAGAGGAATGCAGGAACGATCATAACAGAATCGTGGTTTGTCCCTTATGCGGTGCTCTTCGAACTTTGAACTTTGAACTGATTTAGCACCTTTTGCTGCTATGACAAAGTGTGTCAGAGGAACAGTCATGCGATTCGTGGCTACCCGTTTTACACGGACTCTATACATACTCCGAAGTAGACAAAGTCTGCTAGACAGACTGAAAATATACGGACGCGAGCGGTTCGGATCTTAACGTAATCTCGTTTCAAGTTCGACGTTTAGCTAGGCAATAAGCACCGATGTTTTAGCTCGTTTTAATCTCATACGCGTGAGTGAATTTCTTGGAAGCATCAGAAAGGGGAAAAAGTGTTACATAATATGTATACACTCGTAAACACGCGAACATTCGTTAAGATCCGAACGCCGACGTGACTTTCTACACACGCGGCTAATTCGGTTAGATCGACTCCTGACAACTGTTTGCGATTTAACGTCACTCTTTACGCGATAGATGCGTATTACTGTAGTAGTTGCTTAAAGAAAAAGAAAAAACCGATATATGTATACGTATTTATTTTTACTGAGTTGCGTAGCGCAAGAATACGGTCCTTTTCGTCGTGATGAGACGATTTCTTATGTGTTCAACATGGAACAGGACCGAGCGCAAAGATTCGATCTGATGTTCATCGTACACAGAAAAGAAGGAGAATGAACAAGGAACTTACATCACTTGTTCAAAGTACGGATCGAAATGAATTGACGAGGCCTCGCTTACGTGGTCCAAAAGCGATTAATTAATGTTTCTGTTCTATTAGGCTACATCATAACGCTGTAAATAGTTGTTAAGCTGCTACTTGTTGAATATCTTGCGCCCTTGTCTTGAGTATCTCATTTTAAATTTTAATTCGCGTTATGTACTATTTAGAACATTTGCCAATCTTTCTTCTGTTAACTCTCTATTGTATCGTGCAACTTTGGACTCATATAATGGTCGCTAAAGATTTAATGGAAAGAAAAATGTATTATATGAGTTTTGTACAAACTTAGCTTGAAAATGTAAAAAAAAAATAATACAGAATAAAAAGTAATTTAATTAATAGAGGGTTAACGTTTTCCTTGGAGTAGTTACGTACAAAGCATATATTTCGCGGTGTAAAAATTTGGTATATTCGAAGTTTTTGAGGTCGATTTGTTTTTAAATCGAGCTCGAAATGATCGTTAATCACCAATGTTTCAAAGTATTATCTGCTATTAACGCTAGTGCAAGTGAAATAATTTTTTTGTGTTTGACTACAATTCCCTTAAAGATTTGTTTTTCATTATGAAAAAAGAATGAAATTTTGAATAGGTACATAGGTATATATATAGTGATTTGCTAGGTATTAATCTCATTAACGCCGACAACGTGAATACGGCTAGTATTTTATACGAGAATAATCCAACGATTCCCATTGTCGACGTTTCGATCTTTAATTAAATTCCTGAATGATCGAGTAAATGAACTATCGAGCGGGTCAATAGTGTAAGTGAAATCTGTTAGCTTACGTTGTGTATGCGATATGGACTGATTGGCAGTGGGCGAACAATTGACCCTCTCGTTAACTCGTGCCAATAGGGATGAATTGTTATCAACGTGCTTCCACGCATACATAATCAATTGACCCTTTCCATGTACAAGTAAGTCGTGCAAATACTTCATAAGTAGTTATATTAATAACTAAGTTAATATAACAATCAATAAATAACGACGAATTCGTGATTCCACTGAGCCATGTTCAAGTTAAATTTTAGTAATGAACTTTCATTGTCAGACATTATTTGAACAATTCTTATGCAATTTGACAGTTACAGACAGATTGTTACAGTACTATCACATAAGAACTAGATTCCCATAAATCTGTATACTGTCCGATACAAATGATAAGATTGTTAAAAAGTTTATTTATATTCGTTATATCTCTATTATTCTTATTATAAGCAAGATGAAACTATACATACATTTTTAGTGTATCGATGAGAGAAGTCACTTGTTAATTAGGCTTTACTGTCGAAAGTTATTTATCGATCAAATGAACGATCAAGTATTAGAACATATTTATAACAATTGTTTGACAAATGAATTTTTAATGAATAAATACTTATTTACAAAATTTAGAGGAAATTAATAACTCCGAACTTAATCGCTCATAAAACAGATAGCTTGACATATATGACTATAAGTGCCATATATATAAATAGAAATCAAATAGAGATTTTTCTGTAATTATAGTTATCTAAGTAATTTATCACTGTGATTAGAATTTTATCGTTCTTAATATGAGCTGTAAGCAAATAGTACGTCACGACGTGTCACACAACATATGTATATGATACCAGAAAATTACTTATAATAATAAATATACTGTAATATGATCACAGCAATGTGTGAACTTTCGCAATGTATAGTGTTGCAAGTCTTTTATATTTAATAAGACGATTTAAATACTAGTTTGTACTAATAAAGGCTTTAATCTTACAATAATGTTACATCGTATAATAGCTTTAACACTACAAAAAATTATTACCCTTAACATTACCAGGTTTCGATAATAAAAAAGATATTATGATATCTTAAAGCGGAAATGATTTCGTACGCGCCGTGACCCTTTTTGGGTCTGTTCGGTTCCAAGTACTTTATGGGGGGTAAAGTCTTTTTTCCTCGGAGTTCACCCATAAATCAATGGTTTTTTATTTTAAGTGAAATTTCTAACCCTTTCCTAACATTCTTTTCATTTCTATTTTTTTTTTTTTATTACTTAAAACACGTAATTTTAGTAAAAGGCTAAAGTTACTGCGCAACAACGATAATAATATTCATATTCATTTTATATTTTCCGTGTTTAAATAATATTTAACAAAAATATCCCTGAGTTTACAAAGAAATGCAGTTAAATCCGAAATTTCTGATTGTTTGGAGAAGTCGACAATGTTCTTGAACTCTCTCAAATGTTCTTTTTTAAGCACAGGTTCAATTGTTTCCACTAAAATGGATAGAATTATTTACGTACACATTCAAATTTGGAACAATATGTTTGTAATTTTTCAAATATTTCATACCTCTCCATATGCTGTCATAATTAGTTACATACACAAAATATTTATCTTTCATATCAGCGTCACATACAAAGAAAGAACCTTTAATTTGCTCGTGTTCCTCATTTTCAGTTAAATGTATGCTGAAGTCTAAATATTGCTTATAATAAAAACAAGCAAGTTTAATAGCATTCCATTTTGCTACCTTATGTTCTTTCCTTTTTTCTGATTCTAAAAACATTGGAAAACATAATTATAAAAGTGGTAAACTCATAAAACATTCACTTAACATATGAAATATAATTAGGCATATACAACGAATACCTTGTTGTAAATCGATCATTTCCAGAGTTAAACTATCTCTCTTTAATTTTGCATCATTAACTTCTTCTTTCAGTTCTTCTTGCTTCTTGATTGCATTAGAAAGCTTTTTCACAACAACTTTCTGTTCTAACTTTATTGCATCCATTTCAGATTTTAACTTTTCTAGTTCTTGTTGCAATTCTGATATCTTATGAGCATTTTGTGTCCTCTTACCTATACATTCTAAAAAAAAGAGTAACAAGTTAAAAACTGAAGGATTTGTTTAAATATATTTAAGAAATAAAATACTGTGTTAATTGAATTCCTTGTTTACTTAAAAGATACATATTAATTCTGTGCAAATACATTATATTTGATTATTTGAGATATCTGCTTTAACAAATTTATTACATGAACTTTAATTAAAGTTCAACACAGAATGCAAATTTATGATCAAAATGTAATGTTTAGACATTCTGACTAAAAAAACATATGTTAAACAAATACCAATTTCATATGTAGTTGCAGCTTCAATTTTGATGGCAATTTTCTCACGAAAATTATAACAATTTGATACTAACTTTTTCAATACACTAAACTCTCTATTTTGAATAACGTAAACAATGTCATAATTAAATTCTTCCATTGTCAATACATAATTTTTATTGTGAATAACTTCGACCATACAGTAACGGTTTTAACCTTTAAAACTGCGATTGTTGACGCGACCAAATCTGATCTGAAGTTAGCCGATTACTTATATTAGTCTCAAACCGGTATTCAAATCACACTAAACCAATCACAAGGGTTAAAAAATTTGAATCATCCCCTTCCTATTTATTTAGAAACAAATGTAACTGTGGATAGAAGTATGAAATTTATATGAATATAAGGTTTTCTTCTATGTTATAACATATTTCGTACCTACTAAAGACTATAATACTCAAAGTGAAAAGCGCATGAGGATTAAATTCATTTCTATTTATAAAATATTAATAACATACATTACGAAAATCCTTTTATTCATCGCACCTGTTTTTTGCATTATGCAGTAAAGAAAAAGTGCGTACATCACGGTCTTTCCTGAAATTCTTCTTAATGCTAAACTGTAGGCAAATACTGAGATATATGCGCATGACTCATTATTATTTCACAATATTTTGAAAAATTGCTGTTTCAGAATTATATCTAAATTTTTTTTCTCAGGCTACACATTAAAATTTAGATGCTACTTTCGATAGGGTCATATAACAATTATACATACAATTATCCATTTCTATTTGACATTTATTTAATTCACTGGTTTTTGTATTTATTTAATCACAAAGGAAGTTAATTAGCTATTTGAATTAGATAACGATGGATAGAACTGTTTAATCGTAATACTAAGCAAATATTATGACGGATTCGTTACGACGTCTCTTTAATGCTTCCATTGATTTATTCTTAATTTACACAGATGTTTATCAGTGAAACAGATTCGTATATAAGTAGGTATAAGAATCGAATTACGACTTACACTTAAGACTTGTCGAAAGTTTGCACCTCCGAGAACACGATCGAAAATGTCTAAATTTTTACTGATCTTCGTCATTCTCGGCATTGGAGCTGTTTTGGTACATACGTATTATATTTGAGTATGGTTCTGTAGATTAGTAACATCAGATATAACGAAGCATTTGAGTATTAAGGAATCTGCTCATTTTAATTGTTAACTATATATAAGTATTTTTTATAAAATTTTTATACCATTCATTTAATTTTTAACGAAATTTTACGCAGGCCTTGCCACATGAATCGGAAAATGGACTAAATGAGGCTCTTAGATTTAGAGTACGTATTAATA